GTCAGGAAGACCTGAGTTTAAATCCCATTTCAGATACTAGCTGTGTGACCCTGGATAAGTCACTTCCGTCTGCCTGAGTTTCCTCATCCATAGAATGAGGGGGTTGGACTCAATGACCTAGCTCTAAATTTATGATCTATGATAAAGAGACTGGACCAGATGGTCCCTAATGCCCTAGGATTCTGGGCTCCTTTCTGCTAGTCCTTGTATCTGGGGCTGGAGGTGCTGCAAGGCACGTCGCTGATCAGGAATTATTAGGTCCTCTATTGAAGCACTTGGAAATGATGCACCAGGCCCAGGGGAAGGGAAGGTGGAAGGGCCGATTTGGTCTTCAGATGCCCCTTGAAGCTGAGGCCTCTTTATTTTTCAAAGACTCCCCAAGGTTAAAGTACCAGGGGTGTAGGGAAGGCTGCTGCAGAAACACTGAGTGGACAACCATATCTTTCCCCTTCCAAGCTCATCTCAACGCAGGCGCGGACATCCCCAGACACTGGCCAGGGGCGTCTATAGTGTAACTCTCTGCACCAAACAGTATGATCACGGAGTTTAGAATTGGAGGGATCCTTCCAGACCTTCCAGTCCAGGCCTCTCATTTCAAGGACAGAGAAGCTCAGGGAGTAAGGGGGAAGGTGATTTACCCAAGGTCACATAGTCAGTAGCTGAGTCAAAACTTTGACATCAGGTCTGGGTAACTTGAAAAAGGTAGGGAGTGAATTCATTGGACGAGCTCCTGGGTCTCTAGGCTTTGAGGTTTACCAAGTGTTTTCTTTATAAACAATCCCCCCCACCCCTGAGGATGGAACCTGAAGGATCTTTCCCCCCTCTTTTAACAGATATGGAAACTGAGGCCCCATGAAGTGACTTGTTCAGGATTTGGCAGCTAGGAAGTGTAAGAAGCAGGATTTGAATATATTTGATGAATCCACACATCTGATTCTCAGTCCCCATCCTGTGAGTGTCCCTCTCTCTCTCTCCTCTCTCTCTGTCTCTCTTTCTCTCTCTGTCTCTGTCTCTCTCTCCCTCCTCCCTCCCTCTCTCTCCTCTGCTATCTATCTGTACCTCTTCTCGCTCTCCCTCTCCATCTCTGTCTCTTTTTTTCTGTCTCTGTCTGATTCTCCCATTCTCCCAAGCAGTTTGATATTTAATGGATAGGGCTCCTGACTTAAGAATCATGAATCCCAAGGCGAAATCCTGCCTTAAACACTGTGTGACTGTGGACAAGTCACTTAATGTTTCTGGCTTCAGTTTCCTTATGTAGAATGAAAGGGCTGAACTTGACCTCCAGGGTGCCTTCCAGCTCTAAATCTACAAACCTTTGCTTTCTCTTTGGCCAGCTAGAGCCAAGGGCCAAATAGGACCTATAGAATTATGGGGAAGGATAGCTGAGAACCCCCATAGCAGGAGCTGAAGCCCAAACTCATTTACGTTTTATGATATTTGCTCCTCCTCACTGTACCATCCCCTGGGAAACTGCAAGCTTGAGTCTCACTCCTGGCCTCAACGGTGGAACATTTAGGCACCGGGTAGGGATGGAAGGAGAGGTCAGGGAGTTGGGCAAAAGCTATTGAGAAGGTGAAGGAATACAGAGTGTGAGTGGGCCAGGCTGGGGCCCCAAGGGATCTTGGGTAATCTTTGTTAGAGAACCCTGCTTTCAAGTATGAGAAGTACTGTCATATGAAAGACGTTTATTAGACTTGTACTGCTGGACCTCAAAGGGGTGAACCAGGAGCAAAGGATGGAAGTCACCTAGAGGCAGATTTCAGAACTTCCTAATACTTGGAACTGTCCATGAGTGGAAGATGCTGTTGGGTGAGGTAGAGAGCTCCCCATCACTGAAGTAGTCTTTGTGTCTGCTTGTCATAGATGCCTGATGTGAGCTCAGAATAGATAGCCTCTGAAGCTTCCCACGCTCAGGTTCTGGGTTAGGTTAAACAATGAAAGCACCCCTCCTTTTAAGCAAGTATGATAGAGTCTTTTAGACAATTGTGAACAACATTCATCTTCAGTATGCTGAATTCTCAAAGGTCTCTTCTTGTTTCAGCTGGCCTGTGTATATAAGGCATCAGACCTCCTATGTGCTTCTCCCACCCCTAAACCAGGCACAAAGTATTGGAGCCTGGCTGTGTGGAGTTCCATGGATTCTCAAACTAAGGGATACAAAGGGGGAAGTAAGCCACTCAGTCACTGTGTGACCTTGGGCATGTTTTGCTTCTATGGGCCTCAGTTTCCTTATCTGTCAAATGAAGGGCTGAGATGAGAAGATCCCTTCTGATTTTCATCATGACAGTTGAGTTTGAACTTGAAAGAGTTGCTGATGGCCAAAGGCTGATTTCTGAAAATTCAGGAATTAGCTTCTACCCAGTAGGACCTGGGGTGCAGGGGTGGGGTGAGGGGAGCTTCCAAGGCTGAATTCTCTCCAGTTTTCTTTTGAGGGACTTTTTTGAAAGGAAGGGTCATGGGTTAGACCAAGAGTGGGAAACCTTTGGCTTTGAGGCCACATGTGGCCCTCTAGGTCCTCAAGTGTGGCCCTTTGAATCCAAACTTCAGAGAACAAATCTCCTTAATAAAAAGGATTTGTTCAGTGAAACTTGGACTGGGTCAAATGGCCGAACCCAAGAACCTAGAAGGCCACATGTGCCCTCCCTCTAGAGGGCAGGTTATCCACCCCTGGGTTAGACTGTACTAAATTCTGTGGCGGAGGTGGAGGGGCGGGAAAAGCATGGTTATCAATGAAAAAATTTCTTTGACTTAATGAAGATGAATGGGGAAATAGTGTTGGTTTTCTATGTCTCTTTGTCGGGATCCATTTATTCTATCAAGTGGAGAATACTTGGTAGGGGGACACAGCCCTAGTCCTGGGTGCCAGTGTCAAAGTCTCCCCCTGTTGTGACATGAGCTCTGATGGCTCCCAGCCGGTAACAAGAGCAGGCCAGTATCAGTTTAAAAAAAAAAAAAAAAGAGATGATGGAGCAAATAGAGTAAAGAAGGTTTCAAGAGGAATGTTAACCCTACATAGAACAACTTTTCCCAAGCACTTTAACATTCATTCAACAAGTATAATTAAGCACCTACTTCGTGCAAAGGCACCAGGCACCTGCCCTATTTGCCTCCAAACCACGAAAGTCCTAATATGAGCCTAATTGTCCATTACTGTGTGAACTTCCTGGGAATAAAACCCTAGGTTTCTTTCTTTTATCTTTTTCTTTTTGGCTTTTTTTGGTGAGGCAACGGGGTTAAGTGACCTAGGTTTCTTAAAAAAATAATCTCACTCAGACTTTTCACAAATTCGGAGACCTTTCCTTCGGGCCTTTTCTTTGAGTTTGTTTCATCTTTGGTCTCCTGTCCCCGGCCCCAGGACCCTTTTGCCTGTAGCCAGTTGGGCCCGGAACCTGTCTCTGGTATTACTACCCCTCTCCCCCTCTGGCCAGGCTCAGGGGTCAGGCTCAGGGGTCAGGCTCAGTTGAGTGAGTTGAGGAGAGGATTGCCTTCTCGAAACAATTTACCTTTTAATAGCCCGGACTTGCCTGTCTTTTAGAGGGAAACCCGACCTGGGTAGCCACTACTTTTGCTTCTGTAAAGAGTAGGGTTAGGGAGACGGGAGAGGGAGGTGGGGGTCTCTTTCTCTGTTCTTGAGTTTCTACCTTACTTAGGGGTGTCTTACTTTAAAGCACTCATTTATCTCTCCCCGCATCCCTACCTTTTCCCGAAATCGTGCCTGTGTCTTCTAGACACTAACCAGCCCTACCTTTCCCGGGATCTCTCTCTAGCTTAATGAGTGTATCTAAAATGTATCTAGCCAAGATCTCTAATTCAAGGGTGTCTGTCCCTCCCTCTCCAATTCATCAGTGCCTCTTAAGCACCCGTGTGGCGATTGCTTAGGGTGTCAGTCAAACCTGCTGACGTTGTCTGTAGTCTCTCTGGGAATCCCTGAGCCCCATGTGTCCCTGGATCGACCCCCACAACGGGTTGAAAGGGTGACTGCGGCAAGGCTGCTCGGCGCAGGGGGCTAGAGAGTAACAGTTGCGGGACGTGGCTTTGGATGGGCCACAGAGAAGCTTGGAACTTCCAGGCCTTCCCCGGGGCCGCCGCTTGTGACGCCAGAGCCGGTCGCTAGGCAGCCGCGAACGCCGCGACAGGTGGGAGGCAGGGGCGGCTCCCGGGCTCGGGTCCCTGCGGCAGCGGCGCCTGCAGCGCGGAGCCCCCTCCCCCTCCCCTCCACCCCCCGGCCCAGCCACAGGGACCGGAGAGCCGGGGCGGAGGAGGAGAAGCAGGCGCCGGCTTCGGCCCCCCACCTCCCACGCGCGAGAGCGCCGAGGTCACCCCGGAGGCTCCACCCGCCCGGGAGCCCACTTCCCCCTCCCCCCGCCCCGACTAAGCCCCGTTACCGGACGCTGCACCACCCCTAGACTCCCCCCCGCCCACCCAGGAGCGGGGCTCCCCTCCCCTCGACCCACCGTGCATTCATTGCCGACCCCCCTCCAGGCCCTGGCACCTGGCCCTCGCGAGGAGGTCGGTGTCAGCCACTCACCTCCCACCCTAGACCCCTGCGCTGCCCCCAGGCCCTGCACCCACCCTGAGGAGCCAGGAGACACCTCGTCTCCCCCGGGTCCTGTGCCCAACCCCGAGGGGCAGGATCCCCCGCTGGCCCCCCAGGTCCAAGCCACTCCTACACCAGCCCTGAGGAGGGAGACTAAGCGCCCCCTTTTTCCCTAGCCATCCCCACCCCACCCCAACTAGTTCAAGTAGCCGGCCCTCCACCCCTCTCTACCCCCACCCCAGCTAAGCCCCACCCAGTCCTGTCGAAGCCCCGCCCCCAGACCACCGCACAGGTCCCAGGTTCCCCTCAGGCCTTGCGCCAGTCCAGAGGGACGGGGTGCCCCCCCCCCCCCCCCCGGGCCAAGTCTGCCCCGCCCCTGCCCTGCCCCGCCCAGCCCAGTAGGCCCCCCGGCGTGGGCCTGCAGCCCCGGCCAGGCCCCCGTGCTCCCCGCCGCGGCGGCAGCATGGCCTCGGAGACGGTGAAAGTGGTGGTTCGCTGTCGGCCCATGAACCAACGGGAGAAAGAGCTGAACTGCCAGTCCGTGGTGACAGTGGACTGCGCCCGCGGCCAGTGTTTCATCCAGAACCCGGGCGCCGCGGACGAGCCGCCCAAGCAGTTCACCTTCGACGGCGCCTATTACCTGGAACACTACACCGAGCAGATCTACAACGAGATCGCCTATCCCCTGGTGGAGGTGAGACAGCGGTAGGGGTAGGGGGGCGTGTGCTCCGCCGAGGGAGGCCGGGGGAGGACCCAGCCAGACGGGGCCGGTCCAGGACCCAGCCCGCTCTCCACCGCCTTGCCTCCCCATTCTGGCCAGCTCGACGTGCGCCCAGCCCTGGGAAAAGCAGTTGCTGAGTTCGAGGACTTTACGTTCTACCAGGGGAGGACGATGGCCCAGAGGCCGGGCTCTGCTTAGCTTCTCTTCCCCATCCGAGGAATCTAGGACTGCCCTTCTAACTAGGATTCAATCTGTACCAGCGGGCTCACTCCCATCCCCCTCGGATTCTGGTCTGCAGCCTCCCTAGCCTCCCTCTGCTTAGGACTCTAGGCCAGGCAGCCCTAGCGTGCCAACCTACTGTCTCAAGATTCAGCTCAAATCTCACCTTCTACAAAAGGCCGTCCTTGGTTGCCCTTCACCCAAGCTAGTGTCCTCCAGTCTGGCATTACCTTGGCTTTTATTTATCTTGCGTGTACATAATGATTTGCATATTGTCTCATCCCGTCTCTCCCCCTCATAAAGTGAGCTCTTTGAGGCTTTCTTTGTGTCTCCAAGCGCATAGCACAATGCCTGGCACATAGTAAGCCCTTAATAAATGTTTGTTGACTGACTGACTGAACCATACATCACACTCCTACACTCTACCCTACCTGCCTATTCAGGCTTTGACTTCCCTTTTCACTCAGTCGTACATTTCCCACAGAGTTCCAGTTCTCAGTGTCCACCACCATGCTCCCCTTTTCCTTTGTGGGAGTCAACCTCTTCTTCCCAGGACTCGGGTCTTCAGCTTTCCTTCTCCCTGACAGAAAGGCCAAGCTTCTTCCCTAAACCTGGAAGATTCCAGGCTTTGTGTGATGAAATCCTTTCCAGGTCCCCAGCCTTTGCTGAAGCTGTGATTCCTGTTTCTCTTGTCCACTGGGTGCTCAGACCTGTCTAACTTACGCCCTTTGAAGGAATTCTCTGGGGCAGCCTGGGAGTCAGAAAAACCTAGGTGGCAAACTCACCTGTGACAGTACTGTCTGTGTGATCCTGGGCAAGACCTGAACCTTCCCCGTGCCCCACCGAGGGCATTAAAAAACTTTAATAAATTGCTAATCAGCCACATTGTCATTGGTAGAGGGAATTTCCCTGCTAAAAGTTCTCTGTGAAATCACAGGCCCAAGTGAAATAAGAAATGGGGCCTATAAAAGGATAGAAGAAGGGGGAAGACTTCTACCCAGAGCTCAGTGTGGTCTCGGTCTTGACCTGCAGACAGCAGGAGATGATAAAACTTGAGTTTAAATAACCCTGTCCTGAAATAGCAGGGCTGATTTTATAGGAGGATAACTTGAGTCCATCCAAAGGCTGTTGAAAGAGAAACATAGCTGGCATTTCATTAAATAGCAGTCTCAGGGAGGTCAAGGGGCCCCATTTGGTGTCTGCTGGGTACTGTGCCTCACATTTATGGCCCATTGCTTCAAGCATATTGAGGGATATTGAGGTTGAGGGTTCCACATTCAGCCCTTGGCAATTTAGTTAGCTCTCTAGTTAAGCCCCACATCTACTGATCAGGCTGCTCAAAGCATCTCATGTCATACTGCCAGTGAATCAATGGCATTGTTAGGAAGGCACAGGCCTCAGCTTGGCCACTGACTTACTATGTGACCTTGGCTGCTTTCTGTCTGTGGGCTTCACTTTCCTAGAAGTCATCCTGTCCAACCTGAGCAAAAAACCCCTTTTCAACACCTTTGACATGTGGTCTTTTAGCCTCTAAGACCTCCAGTGTGTGTGTGTGTGTGTGTGTGTGTGTGTGTGTGTGTGTGTGTGTG